AAAAAAAAAAATAAAGAAACATCGGTTAAGATAACTTGTAATAAAAATTTATAAAGGTTGGATAAGTAATTTTTAACCCAAAAAATGCAAACAACTTCTCATATACAATTTTAGCAGTACCGTTAATTTCTATATAATTCAATGTTGGGATCTAAACCAAAATAGTATGGCACCACCCTTGAGGTACCACCTTTCCGATAAAAATATAATAATTATTGAAATCGGTTCACGTGATCCAAAGTTAACAAATATATATAAACAAAAAAAGTATTCCGACGAATTGATAACCTCCTCCTTTTCTTGAAGTCGGTTACAAAATAGATTACAACAAAGCATTATTTCGATACACGCAGAACAGTTATGAGTCATAGAAATTTAAATAGATGTTTACTATTCCTAAAACGTGTATTAAAGTATTCAAAGCCGCTTAATTATGTCATACAACCAAAATATAAATCAAAACCTATTCAACAGCCATACCGTTTATATTTTTACTTATTTTAAATGTTTAGGTATTCTATGTTGGCCGCTATTTCTAACAAAAGCACGTAAACTTTCGTCTCAAGTTAATATTATTTCAAATGAATTACTCAGCCTTTTAGTTTTTCTATACACACCTTAAAATAGTCAGGCATTAGCATCGGCAACACAACTGCTTCCTCCAGCAAGCGTTTAGCATCTTGCAAATCGGCTATATCGTTCCAACGCACCTTTGGGTTTCGCTGTAGAATATCACGCTCTTTGAAATAGAAAAAATGCATACAAAGTATGTATGTATAAATAAACGCTGATTCAATATTTTTAAATCAATCTTTCAATTAAAACGCACCTAAAATATCCACTAGTTCAGCTTCCATGTGCGAGCTAGGTTGAAATTTCTTTTCTTCCTTATCTTCGCTATCCGCTGTTTCCTCATCCCGATTTTCCTCGTCTTTGGAGCCGCCATTGTCAACTCCGGCATACGGATTGCCATTATTGCCATTGTTTGAGTGTGGTGCTTTTCTGCTGGATGTTGAAGACGTAGAGCGTCCATTTTGCTGCGTTGAGTTACCACCCCGTGTGGTGCTTCCAACACTTCCAGCTATAGTGCGTCTATTTGCGGCACCGCTATTGTTATTGCGCTGGGGTATTGTGCTTTTTCCTACACCACCGGTGAGCTTCTTATTGGGTATACTGCTTCGACTACGACTGGGTACGGCAGGCCTATGGTAACTAGAATAACATATATTCACATTAATAAAACAAAGTATGACATACTTTTCTGAACGTGGAGGCCCCCATACATCCGGATCTCTCGGTGGCGGTGTCCAAATATCCGGATCAGGCCGAAACCATGCGGCTGGGTCTTTTGTTTCATCTTCACTAATTTGAGTTTTCAGTTTGTGTGCAAACGGTGTATTCTGCAAATCTAAAGTCATTTCGGAAAGCGTTCGTTGTATGGCTTTAATTTGGGAGTATTCTTTTTCTATCTGCTGGGCGATCTGCATACAAAAGGTACGAGTTAATAAAACAATTCATACACTGAAAGTATCTATTCTACTCACCAATCTCCATTTGCTCTTACGCAGTGAATCAGTTGTCGATTTAACCATGCGATCCAGCATGCCGCCCAGCCCTTCGTAGTAGATGCAGGCCGAATCATAGTTGCCGGTATACGCCATGTCGCGCGCCAGCTTTGCATTCTCACATATTTCCGCTATTGAAGTTTTGGCCATCACGGTCATTCCTACATAAGATTTCGTCTTTTGCTTTCCACCTCTTAATAGCTGCATTAATATGAACAGAAACAATGTCGCGCGATCGAACACGCCCAAGTCAAGGCAACAGGGGAAAGGCCGCAAGAAACATTGGGAGTGTTGGAATGACAGAGCAATGGCAGCGTCGGTGTCGCCGACGTATTCAACGACAACATTATTCATATAACGGCAATGGACACAAACGAAAAGGTGAGCATTGGGAAAGTACATAAAAAAAGAACAAAGACTTTTTAGTCAAAATGGAAAGTGAGACCGACGAATACCAGCTCTACGACGCCAATTAAATTGACATATAGTGGACATATAGTAGCAGCAGCAATGGAAATTAAGCAAATTTGTTTCTTTATTTGCCGCAACAATGCAGGTGGTTGCAATGCGAAAAAAAACAAATTATTTCTACTTATTTCGTAATTTTAGTATCCCCGCCCTTACTTTTGCTATCTTTACTAAATTTTACCTAAAAATAACCATTAATGTCGTATTTTTCTTTTCTCATTTATTCACTTTGCTGCCACTATTCGCTTTCGTCAGTCTTGATTTTTTCTTAAACTATCTTTATACGGAAGTAGCGGAAGTGTCCCCATTCTACTTACGGTTATTGACATTAGATCGCGCCTTTTTCATACACTACCAACTTTCAAATCTTTATTTCTATACTAATTCTACGTTTTTAGACCTATTTATAAATTTAGAGTAATATTTTATTTTATTTTGGCCGTTAAATAAACGGGTGTAAGATTTTCACACTACTTGTTCTTCTCGTTTCTTTTTTGTGCTTTGTTTTGTCTTCTTCGCAAATGTCAAACGGATCGTTTTCAGTGTTGCTTTCAGTGTTGCCATAACCATTTTCTACCAAAGTATCCTACCATAACACCCGATTTACATGATTCAAGTACTTGAAAGCAATTCTTGCTCATTCTCNTTCTACCAAAGTATCCTACCATGAGTAACCAAAACCTACCAATCATATTTTAAGTTTTTAATATTTTCTTTTCAATGTAAAATATATTAAAAACATATAAGCGCGTATTCATAGTCCAGCAACTAAGTCGAAACTAACAAAGTTGCAACTTAAATTTAAGTACTAACTTAAAATTTACCTCTATTCATAGTCGCATTCAGACTTCTACTAAGTAGTTTCGACTTNCGTAAAAGCAGTCTAACTAACCAAAACCTACCAACCATATTTTAAGTTTCTTTTCAATGTAAAATTTATTAAAAACATATAGGCGCGTATTCATAGTCCAGCAACTAAGTCGAAACTAACAAA